GAATAGTTTGTTTACTTTCTGATTCAACTGCTTGACGTTTGAATTTGTTTGGTGGATGTAAAAATAGTTTCCATGAGTTTTTAGCCAAGATTCTTAGGTTTATTTTGATACCAAACATGTCCAGGTTCAACAGACAGATCTTAAGTTAAAAGAAGTTTAAAGAAATAGAAAACCATCCAYCTTCCTGAGGCCCCCTGGCGGCCCCCACTTTGGGAACTCCTGTTTTAGATAACTTATGCCTTCATCTGCACATTTTGTTCAACATGCTGAGGACAAGGGAAAAAAAGCACCTTATTTTGGACACATTGGTTTTGTTGATTTTGTTTGAATAGTTTGCCTGTGTAATAATCTTTATGAATAAGTTAAACTAACTTTGCACAGAAGCTTTGTATAAGTGAAGGAAGTCAGGGGTTAAAAAGGTTGTTTGCTTCAAAATTACTCCACTGTTCATTAGGTACCACTTTACAATAAGGCTCCCCTTATAGATGGCTTATAAATAGTTTATAGATTATTAATTCATCTGTTAACACTTTATAAATCATTAAGTGTTTATTATGCATTAATTAAGGATGAGAAAGAGACCAAATTGTTCAGTTTCTTGCCAAATAGTGAGCCATATTTTACATATAATATTGTATAATGCTGCATTATATATATCCACAAAATATCAAAGGGAGCCATATTGTAAAGTGTAAGACAGGTACACTATTTATTAATGGTTAATGAATATGTATAAATGTCATAAGGGAGCCTTATAAATAGTGTACTGTTTTACACTTTACAATGTAATGTAATAATGCACATGAATAGATTTGGCTCACTATTTGGCAAGAAACCAGACAGTTTCGTCTCTTACTTGTCCTTAATTATTGCATATTTGTTATTTATGATTTATAAAGTGTTGACTGATAAATGAATCTATAAATGATTTATAAGCCACCTATAAGGAGAGCCTATTTGTAAAGTGGTACCCTCCATTATAAGTAACAACTGAATAACTTACCTATAAAATATGTGAACTGAAGCATAAAKAARCTGTAGCATACCTGTAACCTGTGCCTTACATATCGGCATAAGCTGAAAAATTTTGAGCATGTCCAAAATTATTGTCTGACCATCGAACTGATAACTTGTGCAACTCACAGCAGCAGGCTGGACAAAATTTGCAGAAGTCGGCATACGTTGTTGTTGTGTGGCCTTAAGTGATGATAAATGTTTACGTACATATGTAGTCCCCATCTAGGGTTGCCAACTCAGCCTCTCCGAAATATGGGACAGCTCAGCCGGGGGCGGGGCTTAATGAGGTCACCACATGTCCCAACATCTGAGTTACCTTAACACGATTTAATCTTGTTTCTGTTATTTCCATGTAACATGATGGATTAAATAGGATTTAATCAATGCTGTTCAGCAGCTGACGGCCTCAGTAAACAGGATGCAGAAATGTAAACATAAACATACGTTGTTGTGATTATCAAACTTTTCTAAAGGCCCTATCACACTAGACAACCTATGCTAACTTATGAAACATTTTTTATGTTTAAATTGCTAATAATAAGTTATATATTTGATCAATTTGTTAGAATTGCATTCCATGCCAAAAAGAAGCTTCCTGTTGATTTTTTTCAATTCTACCTTCAACATAGACTTCTTTAAAARGTTCATAAGTTGGCATAAGTTGTCTAGTGTAACAGGACCTTAAGCATTTACCACTTCAGAAGACAACTGTTTAAGAACAATCTATTAAAATAAATATAGGTCAGGACTGTACTACATCTACATAAGAAAAAAATTGTATAGGTCCTCTGGACGGGTTCTTCTTTAATGAAACGTTTCGTCTCTCTTCCAAGAGACTTCTTCAGTCTGAGAGTTTCAGGCAAAACGTCCATCTACATCATGTACATCTACATAAATGTTTCTTAGATGCTTTTTATGGTTCATATTTTATTTATTTCATCCATGTTTTCAGTGGTTAGGTCAAATGTTCCACTAAATAATTTGATATTTGTAGCAGCTTTTAGATTTATAATATTAATTTAATTATAAAAGTATGGTCACAGACCACATTAAAACCAGCCTATAGTTTAAATTTAAATGAGACCAAAATCAGATTTCTTTTCCTGACAGTATAAACGTGACAAATCAGACTTTTTTTAATCTGACCCAGGTCTTATCAGTATGTGCATGATCAGACATGATGCATGTCGGATGTTTTTCAAAGTGGCCGCAGTCMGAACACATTTTATCTGACTTACATCAGTGAGATGGGGGTGAAGAATCGATCCACTAACCTCAAGTCATGAAAGTTAAATCTTGGAGCTCCACACGTCTTCACCTACAGAACAGAGCCCTGTTTCAGAAAGCAGGAGAAGTGGAAATCCTGAGTAAGTTCTGGGGTAACTGCATATCCTGAGTTTTGGGTTTTAGAAAGCCAGAAAGCAGTTATCCTGAGTTAACTTACCCCTGCAACTTACTCTGTGAACCAACCCTGCTCTGTAGCAGGATTACTTGAACAAATCCTGAGTTAGTCTGACCTTTTAGCTGAGATCCGGCATGAGGAAAGTGTCAGGCAGGGTGTGTCCCTTTCTAAATTAGCCTGTAGATGTTGGAGCATAATAATCCACAGAAATTTATGTAGAAAGAGAGAGATAAGACCAAGATTAGATGTCTTGTACGAGCATGAGTACGACAGTTATTTCAATGCCCTCAGTCCTCATATGTTTGTTGCATTTGGCCCCAGTCAGCTTGAGGCACTATACAAACATGTACCTGACTGCAGGCTGCACTCAGTATAACAGGGAAAAAGAGTGTCCTGTACTGGACACTTTAATTTGGCTGAAAATACTGGACATTCTGGTTAATATGGGACAGTTGGCAACCCTATCCCTAATGTCTCTGAAAGTGAAACAGAAATTTAAAAGTTTCTTATGATTTATGAAGCTGAACTGTATCACTGAAGATTCAGCAGACATCTTCTCCCACTCCCTGACAACCACTAGGGCTGTGTATTGGCAAGAATTTGGCGATACGATACATATCATAACAGAGGGGTCACGATACGATATATCCCGATATACAGTGGTTTGCAAAAGTATTCATACCCCTTGAACTTTTCCATATTTTGTCACATTACAACCACAAACATAAATATATTTCACTGGAATTTAATG